AGATGGCATCTTCAGGAGCAGAAAGACCGAGTCAGTTGTTAACCATCACTGTGTGAGAGATCCCCTAGTAAAAAAACAAAACAACTGAGAAAGAAGCTTGCGATTGCCGATGGGAGACATCGACCAGGTGAAGTCAGTGTTAGCTGGTAGATTAAAGCCAATAAGACGGACGCATCTTTTGGGTTTACTGCCTCCCAAATTCTCATGCTGTAGAAAGACACAAGTCCATCTGTCTGATTTTCTGACATGGCTTGATCACAGGGACAGGAAGTGAGGAGCACTGCTGTTAGGCTGTGCTCATGTGCTGAGCACAAATGACGACAGACCCAAGCCGACCCTTCTTTCACTCACTCACCCTCGAGGGAGGCCTCACATGGTTCAGGTCACAAGTCTAACCCCTGGGCAATTGCCTACTTCCTAATGCTTTGAGGTCAGCAGCCTAGAACATTCCTGAGGCACAGCCTCATTCCTTCCCTGCTGTCTTACTCCAAGAGCGAGCAATCCTGTCGCCTGTGTAGAGGCACAGCAGCAAGACACCACAGGCAACTCAAAGTGGCTGGGGGAAACCAAGTCAGTCAATACTTGAGCAGGCTGGGAGGAGAGCTAACCTAACATGCAAGGAGACCCTAAAACCGTGGCATCCCAAACCTGTAACCCTGGAGCGTAAGAGGTTTGGGTAGGAAATCGATAGTTGAAGGTCACCCTTAGCTACATAAGAAGATTGAGGCTAGCTAAGCAGTGGTGGCACATACCTCTAACCTCAGTGCTTGGGAGACAGAGGCAGGTGGATCGCAGTGAGTTCCAGGCCAGGACTGTTACACAGAGAAACCCTGCTTCAAACAAACAAACAAACAAAAAAGGCTAGCCTGTGCTGCATGAGATCCGACTTGGTCTTAAAACAAGTATACATATAGGATATTGACAAACATTCTACCCTGAGCTATGTTCCAAGCCTTAATTTTACTTTTTATTTTGAAACAGGCTGTCACTAAGTTTCCCAGATTGGAGTTAAATCACTCTGTGGGTCAGGCAAGCCTTAAACTTGTGATCCTCCTACCTCAGTCACAAAAGTAGCTGGGATTACAGTCCTGGGTCACCAAGCCCATCTAAAGAAATTTAAAATAAAAACATTCAGATCTTCTCCACAGTCAAATTATTTAAAAGGTTTAAAATAACTTTTTTTTTTTGAAAGGTAAGAATCTATGTCTGGCCGGATCCAGGCAGCTTAAATATCTGAGAAGTCTTCTGCAAACCAAGTTTAGGAAACATAGATGCCCTCTAAATGTTCAGGGCGTTTTGTATCAGTAGAGAATCATTTCACTTCCTCCTTTCACTTTAATTTTTAAGACATAATTTTATTATTTTTTATTATGTGTACATATATGTGGGGTATCTACATATGTGTTCAGGGGCCTTATTCATTTATTTGGTGTGTTTGTGTGTATAAATCGGGGCAGTTAATATTGTCAGTCCCAGATATCAAACGCAGGTTATCAGGATTGGCAGTGCCGTTACCGGCTGAGCCATCATCTCACCGACTGCTACTCTATCACTTCTTTGTTTTTTCAAGACAGGTAGCCCTGGTTGTCCTGGCACTTGCTCTAGAGCAAGTGCCGGTCTTGAACTCACAGAGATCTGACTGCCTCTGCCTCCTGCCTCTGGCACCACCACCACCCAGCTGTCTACCACTCTTTAAAAAAAATTTAATTTATGAATTTTACATCCTGACTACAGTTTCCTCTCTCTCCTCCCATCCTCTCTTCCCCTCTCCCAATCCACTCCTCCTGTTTGTGTTCGGAAAAGGGCAGGCTTGCCATGGATATCAACAAAACACGGCACAGCAAGTTGTAGTCAAACTGAGCACCTCCCCTTGAGTTAAGGCTGGGCACGGCAACCCAGTATGATGAATAGGGTCTCACAAGCCAGCAAGAGTCAGAGACAGATCCCTGCTTCCTGCTCCTATGGTTAGGAGTCCCACAAGAAGACAAAGCTACACAACTGTTACACATATGCAGAAGGCCTAGGTCAGTCCCATGCAGGCTCCCTTGTTACCAACATGTTTTTCCGACCATCTGGTCCCACAGCCGCTCCAGCTCCAAATAAAACACAGAGACATTGTATTAGATACAAAGCTGTTGGCCAGTTACTAGTTTCTTATCAGCTAGCTCTGTCTTAAATATTAATCCATTTCTATTAATCTAAGTATTTCCACGTGGTCTTATCTTACTGGAGAGTGGGGCTGGAATTCTGCTCTCCTCATCTTACATCTTTAATCTCCTCCCTACTACTTCCAGAATCCTCCTTGTCTCCTAGTCCCTATCTTGCTTTCCTATTGGCCAACAGTGCTTTATTCGTTAACCAAGAGAAACATATTTACAGAATGACATCTCCCATCACTCCCTGGCATCTACCATTTTTTTTTAAAGAGACAAGTTTTTGCTATGTAGTCATGGCTGGTGTTGAACTGGAGATCCTTCTATCTCAGTCTCCTGAGTGATAGGATTGGAATTACAAGTGTGTGCCACCTCAGCCACTACACATTTTGGCCTTTTCCTTTTTTTTTTTTAAAGACAGAATATTTATATATAGTCCCAGATGCCCTGGAACTTACTCTGTCCGTGAGTGTGTGGTAGGTAGCAACCAGAGAAGACTGCTTGGATATGGGTTTAAGCCAAGAGAAAGTCTTTATTAGCCGGCCAGCAACCTCATTGGGTGTTCTGGATCCCAGTGTTGTTAACAAGAACCGTCGGCCAGAAATGTAACTACAAAAGCCCAAAGCAAAGTTAGTGCATTTAGGGACTCTCCCGTTACTATGGACTGTGATGGGTTAGGTTTTTGTTTTTGTAGGTGGTGCTGTCTATGTGCTGAGATTTATGTACTGAATGGTACTTCTGTAAGGAAAAAAAAGGCCATCCAAAGAAACACACCCTGGCCCTGCAAGTAGAGCCAAAGAAACACATTTGGCCCTGGAATCAGAGTCAGTGAAAGAAACATGTCCTGGCCCTGAAATTGGAGCCAAAAAACTAAAAAAGGCCAGTGAGAGAAACAAACTTTGGTCCTGAAATCAGAGCCAAATCTGTTTGACCCTGACCAACGAAGCAGAAAACCAATTAATCCCTGAGCAGGGAAAGCAAACCAATCCCTGAGCAGAAAACCAACCAGTCCCTGAGCTAACCAATCTGAGCTCAAGGGACTGAAATCTGACCAATCTCCACGTGGAAATCTTCTCCCTGGAAAAAAAATGACACTGCTAAGAAGCATTATATAAACTCCGTTCAGCTTGCTGCTGTCTTCTTCAACCCTGGCAGAGGGAGCCACTCTTCGGGATTCTTCTCTCCCAATAAATCTCTTGGACAAGGTTTGGGAGAGCAGATTTTGCCTGGGGAAACTTTTCCCTCCAAACTAGCAACTTAGCCCGGGATGCACTCCCTCAAACCCCCCAACCCCTGCCGCCGTGGTATTCATTGGCTCCCTATTGCTAAAAGACTTTTCTATGAGAGCTGCAACACTTAGTATTCCTTGGCTCCTGACTGCCTGGACCTCAGGTCTATTTAAGTCTGGGGCCCTGTTACAAATGCAGGGATTGAAGGTGCACACCTCCATGCCGAGCCCTTAGCCGTCTTGTAGAGATCAGGTTATTCCTGTTACTCTGTGTCTTACTATTGCTGGAAGAAAGGCCATGATCAAAGAGTTATCAGAGGAAGCATTTCATTAGGGGCTTACTTATGCCAGCTTGTGGTACACAACTGAAATGAAACAGTGTCCTCCCCCGAAAAATGCTGGAGATAATGTGTTCCGAGCTAACAATTATCCAGCCAAGATTTAATTCTTCCCGTGAAAATGAAGAGGCATGTCTTCTCATCCATCCGTAAGCCAGTTTGCTTTCATCTTTAGTAAGAACTGGTTTTTGTTTGTTGCTACTACTGGGTCTCACTTCATAGCCCTGGTTGTCCTGGAACTCACTAAGTAGGTCAGCCTGGCCTCTGCCTCCCAAAAAAAAGAATGGTTTCCAAGATAAATTTAAGGTTGATCATCAGTAAAGGGTTTTCCAGTGGAAAAGGTTTAACTCACTCTGGATGAGATCTGAAGGAGGGCCTTCAAACCTTACTGGCTTTCAAACAACCAAGAAAAAGCAACTGAAGGTTTGATAAAGGTACAGTTTTACGGGCAGATCTTCCGCCACCGGGAAAGCTCGGGCAGCAAGCATCCTGCGGTCTGAAGGCGGCTCCTCCGGGGCTCTCGTACTGGTCCCGCCGCAATGCTCGTGACTCGGCATCATCCGAGACTCAGGAGAGTGCGGTGCGGGGGTTGTTCAGTAAACGCTTTTGTCTCCGCTAAATTTGACTCTCTAGTCAGATTTTAGGCTCCTTAGATGCCAAAATCCAGGTCTGACTGACAGGCCGGTACCTTCGCAGCCTTAGCGAGTCGACCCCTCCCGTGTCGGTCTCGGTGGAACGTTCCGGGATGTACCAAAAGCTGGGGGAGGGGGAGATCCGTTCATTCGTTCCGCATCACCGGTCTGGAGTGGCGGAACGTTCGGTGCCCACGGGAGGCCACAAGGTGGTGCTGCAGTTTAGCAGCAACGCGCCTCCGCCCCGCGGTTTGCGGCCGGGGTAGCACGGAAGGTGCCCGGGGCGCCGGCTGGGGCTGGCGCTGGCGCTGGCCGCGGTGCGGCGGTCTGGAAGGTGCCAGTGTGTGCCTGCAGGGGGCGCTGCTCAGCGGCGCGGCGCGTCCTCACGCACGCGCCGGAATTACGGCGGCACCCGCTTCCGCCGCGTCACATCCGGCTCCCTCCCACCCGCTGTGCGTCCCTCAGCTAAAGCTGTGTGCCCTGCGGGCGGGCCGCCAGGGGGTGTGTGGCCCTCGCGGGTGGCTCCGGGCCGGCTCGCCGCAGTGTGGAGCCGGCTGCATCGTCCGCGGGAGTGGGCGGAAGGCACGGAATAAACTGAGTACTCCCGGTGCTTCCCTGAGAACCGGGGACCGCGATCCCCCACCCCCGCCCTGGAGTCAGCCCGGCTCAAGTTAGGGACCGTGGGCACCGGGCGCCCAGGTGGCGGGCGGACCTCGCAGGGCTGGACGCACAGGTAGGGTGGAGGCGGGTGGGCACCGGCGGGACAGCGGGCGGGCATGTGACGGCGCCAGGCGTGGGGAAGGAGGCGCCGCCCCCGTGGCAAGTGCGGGCGGGCGGGCGGGCACCCTGTCATCGCCCGGCGTCCACTGACTCGAAGCATGTTATTTGGTGCTGTGGAATGGGCGACCCGGCCTGGCCCCAAGCTACAACTCTATTTTAGCGAGCTGGCGGCTTTTTCTCAACTGGTACTTTCCCCAGCATGAAAACGAGACAGTTGAACCCTTGAAAAACAAAAAGCAAAGCAAGGTTTAGCTGTGGATTCCTTGTTCAGTGGGTTTGGTTGTTGTTGTTGACTACCGCACCCCCCCCCCATGGGATAAACGTAATCTACCAAAAATAAACTTGGAAATATTTCGTTGTTGTTGCTGCTTTCTTTTGAGACAAGGTCTTATAGAGTAGCCCAGGCTGGACTTGAACTTGTGACCCTCCTGCTTCAGACTCCTGGAATTACGGGACTACTATCATCACTGCTACAAAGCACATTGGAAAGGAGAATGAAAGAATTTTAAGTAGCACATAATAATAATAATAGTTAATAATAATAACAAATAAGACTCGTTAAGTGAAGAGTTAGGGGAAGGGAGGCTTTTAAAGTGATTCTTTCCCAGTGTAGATAAATTAGGAGATGGAAATACAGAGAACAGCATAAAGGACCTTTCTGCCACATGGAGCTCTTGTGTTGGGTAATGTGGATGCCTTTATTCTGAGCATGATATAGATTTGGTATGTTTTCTCTAAACCACCACCAACTAATCCAGATGTCCTGGCCAGGTATTTGAGAACATCCTCAGTCCTCTGTTTCAGAACAGACATTCCGTTCCGTTCCATCCAGTCCTATTCTCCCCTTTTTTTGTCCCTCCAGATTGTGCTGGGCTAGCCTTCTGCCAGTGAGCTAAGTCCTCCACTCAGGACAGACTTTAAATTTGTGTGTGAGTACACACACACACACACACACACACACACACACACACACACACGCCATGGCATATATGTGAAGGTGGATTGACAGAAAGTCCCTTAATCCCCTGAGCCATAACTTCAGCCCAAGAACAGACATTCTTAACCTGGGATCCATGGGACTAGAATTTGGAAAAAACCACACGTTGAATGGAGTGAAAATGACATGTGAGCCAGGCATGGTGGTGTGTGCCTGTGATGCCAGCATTCTGGAGGCTGATACAGGAGAACTGACACATTCAAGGCCAGCCTGTGCTACCACTCAAGATCCTGTCTCAAAAAAAAAAAAAAAAAAAAAAAAAAAAAAAGAAAAGAAAAGGTAATATCACTATATAATCTCAGGTAAGGGACTGTTGGTTCTTGGAGATTTGGCTTCATGTCTTTGCTGCTGGTCTAGAGACTGTGTGGCTTGTTTTCCTTTTAGCTCTGTATACACGTTCTTGACAACCTGGAGTAGAAGCTCACAAGCCAGATCCTGCCAGCAAGGGAGTCTTTTCCTTTGTTTGTATGTTTTGATTTTTTGAGACAGGGTTTCTCTATGTAGCCGTGGCTGTCCTGAAACTCACTCTGGTTGGCTTCAAACTCATAGATCCTCCTGTCTCTGCCTCCTCAGTGCTGGTATGAAAGGTGTGTGCCACCACTCTCTGTCTAGCAAGAGAGTCTTCATAAGCCAGTGGAAGGGAAGTTGTAGCTTAGGTTTTTTTTAATCTGTTCTCCTGTGTGTACTTTATAGTGTGAGAGGGACATGGTGATTCCGTGATAGGGTAGGATGGTTCTTGCTCTACATACCACAAGATAAATAGATAAATAGAGCAGTGCTAACTGGCTTCCAGGCCCTGTGTAGGACAGATCAGCTGCCAGATCTCTGCTGACCTTGAGCTTTTGCAGACCAAGACTTTTTTTTTTTTTTTATTTCAGAGACAGGCTTTCTCTGTATTGCTTTGGAGCCTATCCTGGAACTAGCTCTGTAGACTCAGAGAGATCCACCTGCCTCTGCCTCCTGAGTGCTGGGATTAAAGGCGTGTGCCATCAACGTCCCACTCCACACCAAGACTTTCTTATCTCTAATTGATGTGGGTTGTGGGCTGGGCAAACAGAACTGACTCTACCAAGGCTAGAGCTGTGTAGCCCTTGATTCATATGTAGAACCAGACTCAGCCGCCTACTGTCTTTTCTGTTTCTTCAGGAGCTTGTCCATGTGGTATTATAATAGCCAACAAATAATCTTAAAATTTTATTTTATATGTATGAATATTTGCTTCCTGTGTTTTTGTCTCTGAACCTGTTGCCCTCTGAGACAAGAAAAGGGCATTGGACCCCCTGAAACGAGTTACAAATGGTTATATGTCACAATGTGGGTGCTGGGAACCAAACCTGGGTCCTCTAGAAGATCAGCCAGTGCTCTTAACCCCTGAGCCATCTCTCCAGCTGCAGATGATCCTCTGATTGGGTCTTTTTTATCATCAGGGATCTAGAAGATCAGCCAGTGCTCTTAACCCCCGAGCCATCTCTCCAGCTGCAGATGATCCTCTGATTGGGTCTTTTTTATCATCAGGGATTTAGAAGATCAGCCAGTGCTCTTAATCCCTGAGCCATCTCTCCAGCTGCAGATGATCCTCTGATTGGGTCTTTTTTATCATCAGGGAGCCTATAGCCAACTTTGTCCTAGTGACATGCCTGCCACTTGTTCTGTCTCTGTTCTCTTTGGGTTGGTAACTGCCTTTAGTGCTTTTGCAGGGTGAAGGGACGAATAGTTGATCATTGAGCACTGCATGGGAGCGGTGAGCTGTGCAGTTAACTAGAATGCTGCCTGTACCTGATAACTGGCTTCCATTACCCATAGTAGCTACTTACTGCTCAATCTGGGATTTCTGACCCTTGACTCTGCAAGACAAACAGGGCTGAACTTTGAGTAGTGTTGTTCAGAGCCATTTCAGCCCTCAACTGCCACATAGGTAACTACACAGAAGTTTCTTCTCTTATTATGATCATGTGGTCATTATTATTTTTTTAAACGTGTATAGGTGAATTGCCTGTATGTATGTCTGTGCACAACTGCCTGAGTGCCTGGAACCCACAGGGGCCAGAAGAGGGTATTGAATCCCCTAGAACTGGAATTACAGATGGCCATGAGCTGCTGTGTGGTTGCTAGGAATTGAACCTGGGTCTTCTGGAAGAACAGCCATATTCTTACCTGCTGAGCAATCTCTTTGGCCCTGATTATTTCTTTTTTTAATGGTATTGAGATTTGAATGCTATGCTATTTGTATGCTAAACAAGTACTCTATCACTAAACTATACCTTAATCTTTTTTTTTTTTTTTTTTTTAACCTTTTATTTTGAGACACAAGTTGCCTAATGCTTAAACTTTCTTTGTAGCCCAGGCAGACCTTGAATGTGTGATTCTCCAGGATAGCTGGGATTATAGGCCTTTGACCAAGCCTGGCCCTTCTGGAACTTTTATTCTTATTGCTTCATATTCTGGTACTGTCTCCTTAGTCCTTTAATCTGATGTGTCTGCACTGCATTCTAGGTGGTTAACATAGCTTCCCCCCAACTAGAATAACTTTTTATGGGTGTGCTTCTTTTTTTAATAAATTACTTTTTTGAGACAGGGTTTTCCCTACTAGCTTAGAACTCATTATGTAGAACAGGCTGGCCTTGAATTTACAGAACTCTATCTCCATCTACCTTCCAAGTGATGGGATTAAAGGTGTGTTGTAGTCTGGCTTTTCTCTGTCCCACCTGCTGCCTCCCAAATAACCACATGGTGACTTATTATTAATTATTTAAACTCAGCCAATAGCTTAGGCTTATTTCTAACTAGCTCTCATAATTTAAATCAACATATTTCTGTTTGTGTGTTGCCACGTGACTCATGGCTTGTTACCTGTCCTCCTGCACATCCTACTTCCTCTTCATCTGGCTGGCAAACTTTGCCTTCTTCCCAGTGTTCTCTGTGCTCCAGAAATCCTGCCTAGCTAATGGCCGTTTAGCTTTTTATTAAACCAATAAACCAGTGACATATCTTCACATAGTATTAGGGGATATTCTACAAGTGTGTAACCACTATGGCTAGAAACTTTTTCTCCTCCTCCTCCTCATTATTATTATTATTATTATTAATATTATTATTGAGGGGTGCCGTGTGTTCAGAGAGGGTTTCTGTGTGTAACAGCTCTGGCAATACTGGAACTAGCTTTGTAGACCAGGCTGGCCTCGAACTCGGCAGAGATCCACCTGCTTCTGCCTCCTGAGTGCTGGGATTAAAGGCCTGTGCCATCACTGCCTGGCTATTTTTATTATTTTTTTTAAGTTATGTGTAGGTATGTATCTTATTAATTACTTTTCTATTGCTGTAATGATACACATGGCCAAGGGAACCAGTAAAAATAAAAGCATTTTATTGTCTTGCTTACAGTTTTGGAGGGTGAGTTTGTGACCACAGTGGGGAGCATGGCAGGCAGGCATGGTGCTGGGTTGCTAAGAGCCCACCCGCTGAGATAACAACCATGAGGCAGAGGGAGGGGATGCATGCTCTCACTGGAGTGGTGTGGGCTTTGAACCCTCAAACCCACCTCCAGTGACATACTTCTCCTATAGGCCACACCTCCTGATCCTACCAAACAATCCCACCAGCTGGGGGCCAAGCATTCACGTGTTTGAGTTTGTAGAAACTGTTCTTATTCAGACTGCCACATTCTACTCCCTGGCCCAAGAGGTTTGTGGCCATGTCACAATGCGAAGTGCATTCAGACCAATTCCAAAAGTCCCCATAGTCTTAAGATTTAAAAAGTTCAAAATATTGGCTGGGTGGTGGTATATGTCTTTAATCTCAGCACTTAGGAGGCAGAGGTAGATTGGTCTCTGTGAGTTTCAGGCCAGCCTAGTCTATACATTGAGATCCAGGGCACATAAAATTCGTGTGTCAAAAAATCAAAAGTAAAATATTCCAGAATCTCCTTTGAGACTCAAAGCAATCCTCCTTCCCCCCCC